CAATTGTTTAGGCTAATCATATTACTTGTTACATGGCAAAGAATACGTCAAAGTTGAATGTTTGCTAAATGAATTCAAATTTATTGCTCACTGCCGGTGATTTTTAATACTTTCATTGTTAAATAGATTTTCCATACTCCAGGTATTGAATCCTCACAAATGTTTCCAGCAAAAAAGGCAAAATTAAACATTGATAGTGGATGATCATTTCAAGAGACCTGGACAAAATCATTTGGAGTTATTGAACACGATTGGAAAGCATTATGCATTCTGCGCGGGGAAAGTGTTTTGTGTTAAAGTGTCAGACGACACTTTAACACCAACCACAAGATTGTTGCCGAACTTGATGAAGCTGAGCGGAAGTTCTTTATTGAAGGGAAATTGAGGAATTATAATTACCAGAAAGTTGGTTTTTTTCAATTAACTTTCTAAAAGAAACCATCTAACAACGACCAACTTTCAAATTTCACTGTGCCTGGCAAAACATGGTAAACAGCTCTCCGATGGGGATTGAATCAAAGACGTTTTGGGCTCGCCTCCCCCCCAAAAAAAGGTATTGGGCACGCGACCCCAAAAAGGTTCTAAATAATAAAACATTGGAAAAGAAGCGCGAGTAGCACTCAAGACTGCGGATACTAACACAGTATTGGAATGACTGATCTTTCACTTTTGGCGGGCTGACACGTAAGCTTTTTGATGTAATTAAATAGAATTGTCCATTTAATGTAAATTATGTTCTAATTATTTAGAATTAAAGCAAAATAAAATTAGCTTCTGTTCTTAAAGTGATTTAGTTTAAGCTGTCATTAAGGTTATATTTATACTGGAAATATAATTCTAATTTTTTCGCTAGGTGCAGTGCTTTCTGCTTGTTTACTTTAGCTCTTGTAATGCGAGTGAAGTTTATGATACGATATATCAAATTGTGTTCTTTCTTTATATAATTTTTTTTTTTTTTAATCGACTGTGGGATGCCGTAACTCGCTAAATGCAGAGAATAAAGGGTAGAATTTAGCATGAGAAGAGAGTACAAATTTTGAAAACTTTATTTGTGAAAGAAATTGCAGAAATTTCAAATAAAAAAAGTAAAGAAAGAAACTTAAAAAAATCTGGAAGCTTTCAGATTTTCCATTACGCCCAAAGGGACTTTTTTTTTAACGTTTCGTGTGTTACCTTTATTTATTAAACATCATATTCTTCGCACTTAAAACATAAAGTTGAATTCAACAGCAATATCGCAAAATAATTTTAAATTGAGAGCATATCTTTGGAATTTCCGATACACAGTCTCGCGCGCTGGAGGTACAATTTTTTTTCCCCATACAGTGCTCGCTTTGAAATCCTTGAGTTTGTTCATCAAAAATTCGCTATATTCGCTATAGTGTTACAAAATATTTTCGCTATAGTGTTACAAAATACAAAAATTCGCTATAGTGTTACAAAATATGAAATCGATAATAAAACGAATTTCAAATTCCAAATTCGGGCTTCTGGATGCCCATATTCGAGTGGAGAACTACATTATTCAAAATTGGATGACTCTGGGTACCGTCGTTTTATTACAATGCGAGAAACATACATACATTTATGCAGATTCTTCATTATTTAATTTCTTTAAATATTACACAGGGCTCTAATATTTGGTGGCAACAATTTGAAAAAAGAACCGACATTTATAGTGAACCACCGCAAATTGCCAAAACAAAATTTCCGGACTAACGCCCTTTGGAATAATAAATAAACATTTTGCTAATAGCTAAGTATAAAGACTTTCTCTTTCACAAATAATTGTGTATGTATCTGCATAAATTACTTGAAAATCATCCTGGGCTTGAAATCTAACTTCGGTATTCAATAACAAAGAATCATATTACAGAATAAATTTTGAAAGGAATGATATAGTAAATGAAGGTAAATAAATAAATTTTGCTTTGACAAAAGTTGCTCGTTTTTCACAATTTGGTTTATAAAACTTAAATATCCAGATGAATAAAAGAATAAATAGTTGAAGAAAAGACAATGAAAATCTCTAAAAAGTCTGAATCCTTCATATCGGAATTTTTAGAATAAAGGATGAGGAATTTAGATTTGGAGTGGTAGAAAATTCAGATTAAAGACTGCGATTAATTTCAAAAAGAAGAAACTTTTGATCGTCTTCTTAAATATATTTATTACATCTGAGAACAATATGCAGGATTACTAGAATTTCCACTATGAAAACTGAAAAGAATATAGATAACCTTTATGTTTTAATTTATGACAGTCTAGTAAGACATTAATTATACGAGAAAAGACTGGTCTTCGGTATGTAAAGACTGCTTTCAAGACAATTAAAATTAAATTTCATTGTATAAATAATTAATGACAATTAAAAAACTTGCTATTGTATCTTACAACTTAAATTTGCTTAAGGGGACTCGGTACCTTTTGTATGATTTTTTTTTATTTAAGCACTTCCATCAACTTTTTATGAATAATATTAAGTGGTTTTATGAGACAAAATGGTTTTAAGCTGAAAAAATGTTTTTTTTTTTGCTATTAATTTTTGTTTAATTTGAATTTTTTTTTAAAAAATTCAACAATTAAAAATTCTTTCTTCTTCCCCAATTTTCAATATTTTTGCTTCAAATTTTTTTATTGTATTCATAATAGTGTTCTTAAAAACTTTACGGATCGATTTTTCAATTAATGAATTAGTTTCTGAGAAAAAAATAAAAAGCACATTTTTATATAAAAATTAAAAAAAATATGACTTCAGTAACATTTTTACTTCCAATAACTTTTCTTTTCATTATTTTTCAAATCCCATCCTTTATTCTATTTAGCATATAATTTTAAATAAGCAGTAAATTTATTAAATAATTTGGTCCATATCTGAACAAGTTTTAGGACTTTAAGTAAAAGGATATATTAAAAATTGCAAACTGAGAAATCGCAAGTTTAAAGAATGTAAACCTGTCTGGACGGTCATTAAATCATTTCCAATTTCTTAAAAATTTTATTACTGAATTTCAATGCATATATATATTTATAATAAAACTTAGACTGTTTTCAATTGATTAATATGAATATAAATTACAAGCTTTTGTTTAAAAACCTTATCTGACTAGAAATATTGCAAAAATATCATAAAATGCAAGTAGAATTTTCCTTTACCTGTTTTTGTTTTTTAAAACACGCTCAAAACAAGTTTAATGCATGAATTAATTATAATATACTTTCTAAAATGCTTATAATCATTATTAATAATATTAATTTGTCGTTTTATTCATTTTTTAAAAAGCAAAATTTGAAATTTTAACGGACATAAAACATTTTATTTAAAACCACTCAGCAGCTTATGTGATTTCTTCTCTTATTTTAGCCATTTGTTCTCGTATATAAATTCCATTTTAAATTAATTTATGTGCATTTTAATTAATTAAAAAGTTTAATGTTTGTTCCAGCACTATTTCAATAATGCTACGGTCAGAAATTTGATCACTTTCATTACACCACCTTGCAACTACATTGTCGCAAGCCTTGAGCGATCCAATGAAATAAACGCTTTGTTGCGTTTTAAATATTTAAGGCTTTTCTTTATTAAATAAGTGCAAAATTTTAAGTGTGCACAAGTTATTTAACAAGTGCGCAAGTTTAAATATGTACACAAGGCATTAATAACCTGTAAGAAAATAATAAGGGATTTAGTTTTACTACATTTTGGTTCAGCTATTTTAAACAGCTCACTTTAAATATAAAATTTTATGTTTCGTGTTTTAGATTTCTAAAGGATTAGTTCTTAACATAGAAGACCTTCCTTCTCGTAATTGCTCAGTATAAAAGTTTTCCAAGCGTTCAAGACCCACCAGCGGAAGAGCGGCAAAGTCACTGCACACTAGTAGTTCGGTCCGAGTTTCAAATTTCGAGAACGGGCTGGTTGCATGGGCGCTTTCCTGGCCTTCCCCATGTGTAACGTGTATACGAGCCAGTTTGCCTCAGAAAGTCCTCCACGAAGGCATTCCTTCCCTTAGGCAGATAGGCTCTGCCGTAACCACATAAAAAACAAACCAAACCTTTCCACGCGTTAAACTGAAATCTGCACACCGAGAAGACCACGCCGTAATTCATTTTTAATCTAATGAGGTTTATATTTTCATTTTCTCAATATTTAACTTTTTGAATTTTTTATTGTAAATTTAAAATGAGGCAAATGGCAAACTTTTCGAATTGTCGGACCTCTTCAAAGTGCCTGGGGAGTTCAGATTGGAATATTTTTTTTAAAAAAATTTTTATGTATGAGAATATACTTCTTTTTGTTAAAATTAATAAAATTTTGGTCACTTGTTTCACACCGAAAATATAAGGGTTTAAAAAGACTTAAAAGTATGAATCTGAAAAATTCATAAAAAAAATTTCTTCTTTTGAGTACTGGTCATTGCTTGTAACCTTTCGCAAGCCTTTAAACTTTCAAAACGAACACTGCAACATAGAAGTCAATTTCCTCCCATAATAATAACTCGACAAGTTTAAATACTTAAAAACGTAAGATAAAATAATCACGTAGGACAATAAAATCGCAGATGGGGGCGGATTATACTTCTTTATGCTATATCGGCTTCAGAAAAACTGCGTGGTTTTTGTTTTGGTTAATGCCAACGGTGGCAGAGTCCCTGTTAAAAACGTAGGGTGAGGAGAGTTAATTCCCTCAGACTAGTCCAACTTAAAAATGTGGGAAGTTTATACATTTTTGGGGAGGTTAAACATGCCCACCACTTTTTGATGTAAAATCGAGGAGAAATCGTCAATAAAATTCTACAAAATTTGTAAAGAAAGCATAACAATGCTAACAGTATGAAAATAATGTAAAAAAAAACATTGAAATTCCAGTAGCAAAAAAAATGCTTTTTCTTATGACAAATGCTTTTCTTGTGAAATATTCTGTATAATTTTAAATAATCTAGTATAACTTAATTTAATACATAATTTATTTATTTATTTATTTTTACTTCTCTTCTTAGGAATGCTTATTCCTGTGAAGATTTGTGTGCTTTTGCTGCTTGTGTTGGCAGCAGTGATCTCTGGAAGACCACATAGCCGGTACACAAGATCTCTTATAAAGGATTACTTCAATCCTCTTCTTTATTCGGACGAACATTTTGAGAAGGGAGATGATGGTAAATACTACTTACGTAAAAGTTCCCATAGGTCCGACAGTGAAGTCCTATATGCGGATGCTCAGACTCTGGATATAAAAGTTGATAAATCTTTGAAAGATGAAATTGCCAAAGAAACAGCTAAAGCTGCTTCAGAGAAACTGGACCCGAAAGTTCAGATTTCTGAGGCAAAATCCGAAGCAGGGCTAGCTGCCTCAACTGAATATATTTCAAAAACACTAGAAGATACAGCTCTTATAACAAAAGATATAAAACTTGACGCAGAAGCAAAGATCCTTGAAAAGCAGGATGATACGAAAAATCTAAAATCCGAAGTAAAATCCGGCGAACTCAGCGCAGCGAAAGACGAAGATGCATTAAAGAAAGTATCTTTGGTTCCGGTTAAACCAGATTATGGAGGATATTTTGCAAAACCCAATAGCAAAGATGACAATCCGGAGCCCATTCCAGTAATGTCAAAGGAATTACCTTCCGATATGGCAGCTGTGGATAAATCTATTGAGGAGGGGCATAAAATATCTATTGGTCAGTTTCCTTTTGTATATCCAACTCTAGTGCCAGAAACTAAAGACTTAGGAAGTCCAGTTTTGGTACATAAACTGTCTTATGGCGCAGTCTCATTTGTACCAGTTCCTCCTGCAGTTCACATTTCAGACAGATTACCTTTGCCAGAACCAGAAGTGGTAGAAGATGGCTCTGAAAGTGCTGTAATGGAAGATGCAATATCTGATGAATCTCGTAAGAACAAAGTTGCCGCGCCAGAAATTTCTTACCATCTGGGCAGTCCTTTGAGCTTTGGTCTACCTTCACCGTTTTGGCCCTTTCACAGCATAATAAGAGAAGTTGAAGGTAAGGCATTCATTATTTCCTATTTTGTGATTGAATATGTTTGAAACCTGAAAATTTTTAATCATTTTTAAAAGAAAAAGTCGAACCCATAAAGCTGTCTCAAGACGGAACTGAAGAATTTTAATAATTGTGCAAAGGAAGTGATCCATAATTAGTTATTTTCTTAAATGGATTGGATTATTTAACTATGGCAAAGCACACGAGGGCTATCTGCCTAAAGGGAGGGATGCCTCCGTGGAGGACTTTCTAAGGGAAACTGGCTCGTATACACGTTACACATGGGGAAAACCACGAAAACGCCCATGCAGCCAGCCCGTTCGCGGGATTCGAACCTCAGACCGAACTATCAGTGTTCAGCGTCTTTACCGCTCGACCGCTGGTGGGCTATTTACTTAAATGAACCAAAACGGTGGGAAGACATTACGTTGAATTCTATGATTGATTGATTAATCGTTTCCGGTTCTTTTAAAATTACTTTTTTTATTGCTTCAGGCGTCAAAGAAAAATATATGTTTTTTAATGAAAACAAATGACTTAAGTGTATTTTATCTAAAAACAGTGTAATTGGAAGTAAGTTGATTTATTGATCTACATTGATTGACAGATTACATCAATCAAAAACATTTTGCTTTATATTTCGTGATGATTCTTTTCATCCTATGAGAAAATTTGTACATGTCATTGATGTTGACAGTACTTCAGAAAAGCATTTCAAAAACTGAAAATGCATCATTATTCACCAGAAATTATTAGTTCTTTTTTAATTATTGTTTTCATTACTCTCCATCGTTGCATTATTTTTACCAATTGTTTTTCTAAGTTCTTTTATGGTTTCACTAAACAATTAAATTATAATTAAGACACAATAACACGCCGAATAAATACTAATTCAGAAGTCAAACAACAAAAATCAGCGTTATATTTACAAAATTTTCACAGGACTAGTTTCGATGGTTTTACCGAACCACCATCCTCAACTGCAAAACCGCTTAAAAAACTTCAGCCTTTTCTTAATATCCTCTCCTCATTGTTTCTTTGAGTACATATTTTTGCTTAATACCATTATTTATCGTTATTTATAAAATCGTTATAGATAAAAAGATCTCCTTTTTTATTTATTTATTTAAAGAATAAAACTCATTTAGGAACAGCAAATTCACAAGCGACTATTGTCGTCTGTATAAAACATAATTTGTTGTTGTTTTCTTGTTCGAGGAGTCAGTGCAGAGGAGTCAAATAGGACTAAAAGTATCCAGAACAGCTGCAGCAACATCAATAATCTTCGAAAAATAGAGGAGTTGGTGCGAGGTAGCTATATCTATACTGAAGAGCTTGGCCAAAATAGCAGGACAGTCGAAGAGATGGTTTGGAGAAAGCTGGATATCACTACAGTGGTGATAACTATTATAATTTCGCTGGCCATCAAAGGATATCTTCATTCCTTTGAAGTGTTTTATCTTCAGTCTGGTTAGGGCAGTGAAAATGACACGGTCACGATTTAGGCCAGGAGTGGAATTCTTTTTGTTTGATTGGGTAGGTAAGTCTTTGGCTGGCTATTGCGTCAGCATCGGTAAGGGTTAAGCTGTTCGAAAGTTGAGAATCATTTCGTGCATCTTTGGCAAGGCCATCATCCTGCTCATTTCTGTAAATATCAACATGCGGTGGTATCCACTGTAATGCGCAGGTCCTTTCGGCTGCAGTAGTTTTGTTCATGAGCATGATAATGTCTTGGGTAAGTTGAGAGTTGCCCCTTAGGACGGCTTGGAGCGCCGATTTAGAATCAGAGAATAATAAGAGGCCACTGGAAAGTTTACAAGTAAGAGTTACGAAAGGGTGAATACTTTATTAATCAGAGGCCCACTAGCGGCCGAGCGGCAAAGGCGCTGAACATTGGTAGTTGGGTCCGACGTTCGAATCCCGCAAACCGGCTGTATGCATGGGCGTTTTCGTGGTTATACCCATGTGTAACATGTATAGAGCCAGTTTCCCTTAGATAGACCTCCACGAAGGTATCCCTCCCCTTAGGCAGATAGCCCTAGTGTGGTTTACCGTAATCTCAATAAACCAAGCCAAACTGAACAATTTATAAACGGAATAAATATATTTCAGTATGCAAAGCTTGTCTTTCACTGAGCAGTTTCGAGACGTATTTTAATTATAGGAATATCGTCTTACATATAATAGATGCAACTAATCATAAATCTCATTTATACTAACTAGACTTCCGATTATTTGATCTATTTGTGATCGATTCTGAGATGATAAAAGAATGATAATAGTTAATCCTAAATAGCCTTCAGAATAGTTGTTGCGGGTTTAAAGCCAAATTAAAAAATATATATATATGCTAAACATATGCAGGATGTGCCAAACAAATGCTTCAACGTTATATGATGCATTCGAGAGGTAAGACCGAATTGGAATATGATTTCGTTACAGTTTCGTTTGTTAGAAAAACTGCGATCATTCACTTTCATTGAATAAAACTCCACCGAGTAATGTTGTGCCAAGAAATTATATTCTTCATGAGAGTAATAAAAACATAAATTTATTTGCGGAAAAATTGCAGGCTCGTTACAAGTTACGGTTTCACATACAAGTTACGGTTTCACTGTCTTAGGAGAGAAGAGCTGAACACACTGATGCCAATCCTCTACAGCTAAGTATTAGCATCAAAATATGTGGCTCGTAAACAGCCAACATTGTTCAGGAAATACATGATATTAAAAGTCGCGTGGTATCATTTCCGATCAGATAAATAAATGAATGTAACGGACTATGACGGGAAATCCGTAAACGCAACACTATGACGTCACGACTTATCATGGCCGCTGCCATAGACGAGGTTATGGTGGGTTTTGTTTACATTCTAATCGCTGTTATCTACATTTTAGCTTTCACCATTTATAAGTTTCTCGATCTAATTTTAATACTTAACATAAATGATTTTCTACTTAGTACATAGAAAAATAACAAGAACTACAAATAATTGCTTCTAATTCAATAAAATCTAGTACATGAAAATGTGTAAATGGTAACTATATACGACATGGTGAAACCTAGAACACCAGTGGAAGTTTCAATAGTATTTTACTCAAACTGTGCTTAAAGACAATTTTCTGAGCCTCCGGACGTTAATATTTGCTCTCAAAGTCAGTTTAATTTTATTTAATAATTTTCCTAACGTCCTTGAATATAAAGATGTAGTGCTGGGCTTACTGCGTCTCACATGAAAAATGAAAGCATGTTAAGAGTATAGTAAGTTAAGCATGTTAAGAGTATAGTAAGTTATTCATGGTAAGAGCTCAAATCCCTGACCATTGACGTCAAGTGGTGCTACATCTTTGACTTACGAAATATGTAACACATTAAAAAATCCCTGGAATCGTGTGAATATTATCGAAGAACAACTGCACTCGTGCAATGAATTACTCTGTAATGTTTAAGAATCGTTACTCATAGCTGATTCCATATGATCACAAGATAAAGTCGGTGGTTTTCAAGTCTGGTAATCTATATACAGGAAAAATATCACTAAATTAAATAATGGATGCTTCTTCATTCGATCATTTAATAATTGTGTCGAAACACCGCAGCCAGCCCAATGGCATTTAGTTTCTTTTAACTTCAATTCGATTTTGAATCTTTTCCTTGTTGCCATTTAATAGACTGGAATATTCCATGCAAAGATGTGCTTTCTTTGTGGCACGTTCTGTAAGTTCTTGTATTTTCTATGCACAATTATTTTTCCAGCTCTTGTTTTAATACAAAGTCATGTCACATTTTTCATAAATATCAATGGCAGATGAACCGTTTTGCTCTTCGATATTTCTTATCAATCATTTCAATGCTTCCTGCTTTGCGTTCCCAATTATTCGAGTCCTCGCTTCAGAAATGAAATGTTAAACAAGAAGTGATGAAAAAATATGAACATAAAGAAATTACGATGAAAAAGTCATTAACTTAGTCCGTAATTTGATGAGATTTAAAAAATTAGTCTCACTCTTACTTTACATTAATTCCAACAGTGGCTTAGTGGATAAGACCGCTGAATACTTGTATTTCGACTGATTTTTTAAATTAATAAAGACTAGATAGCTAGATAGATGTTTTCGTGTTTTTCCCCTTTAAAACGCGAATACGAACCAGGTTGGAATTCCTCCATAGAAATTTTACCTTGTACTTTGCAACAATCGATTAAAAGAGCATATTATACGTTATTGTTTTTGACAAAGTAATGCGTTATCCCTAAGTTAAATGCATTGTTGTGTGCATGCGGGTTCGTAATGGATTGAATGCACATAGAACCGATGAGAGCTGGGTAAACTTTATTTTCCGAAAGAAACACACTTTATAGCTCTTGAACTTTCCACAAAAGCTCTTTTCATCATAGAGCACAATCAGTAGTTACACTAAACTAATAAGGACGTTAAACACAACGCAACGCAAAGCGCATCTGTCCCCGGTCTTATTTAGTTTCTCCGCCCTCCGAGAAATCTCTAGTACCTTCCATTTCTCGAAATGACTGGAAAGGATGTACATAGAAGTTACATAGAGTTACATAGAAGTTACATAAAGTTATATAGAAAGGCCGGATATGGTTTCAGTTATATACAGGGATGAGTTATAGTTACTCAATTACAGTAATACAAGAACCTAGCCAAAATATCACGAAATATAAATTTTTCTCTCCACATTTGGCGGCAAAAATGAGTCACCAAAACCATCACCAGCTTCTCGATATCTCACCAATTTACCGAGATAACCATTTATCTCAAAGGTAAATAGACTTGTCCCTGTAATCTGATTTTCCTGCAGAGCATCGTCTCTTCAGGCTTTTCATGTTATATTACGATATTACTATTTCACACATAATTTAACTAAAATTATTTACATATATACAAAATTCGTAACAGTACTTTTTCTTAGAACGGAATGCGGAAATCTGATTCTCGGAGAAGAGATAATGATAAAAGCATGCTCGGTTAAAGGAAGACCGA